CCCAGACTGAATCCCTTGGGGTTCTCCATGTGATTGTGGTTCCAAAGCCCTATCCTTGGGTAAAGTTTTGCTAGTTCCACCTCTTTCTTTTGTGGTTTTCTTCTTTGGAGGATTGAGAATGCGAGCAGTATTCCTCTTACGGGAGGAAGCCCCTGGTAACGGGCTACTAGCCATCTTTCTTTTTCCTGTGGGAGCCGTAAGATTCTTGTCATTCGTCTTGGGAATCCCTCTTGTGGATTTGCGAATCCTGATCTGTATTGATTCCACTTCAGTATGCACATTCACTTCCCGGAAGTCTGCAGTACGGTCATCAATCAGGTTTGTCGCAGTTTCAGCCATATATTGGACCTCTACGTCCTGAAGTCGATCAGAATCCTCTGTTAGTTTGCCTCCCAGACGTTGAAGAGCTGATGTTCTTGGAAGGGAGAGTCTTTCTAAAGCCGGTCTCCTTGAGCGAGGTGTTAACTCCTCTTCCACTATTGTTTGAAGTCCCACAGGAGAAATAGGTTCTCTGGCTGGTCTTGGTGGGGGAGTATGGCTTGTTCTTGACAGAGATTGGGGATTAATATGCCGGTTTCCGTTTAGAGTAGAGCCATGTCTAAGATCGCTTCCAGAGAATCCAAGCTCCCTAGGTTGAATTCTGCTGTGAGAAGCCGAATGAGAGCTAGTTACATGGTTTTGTGTGACAGGTCTATAGTAAGAGTGCCCTCTTCTTACGTCTTCCCTTATCTCCGTGTGATGTCTCCAACTTGTGCCTCTGCTGAATTCTCCACTCCTTGAGTGATTTTGGTTCATTATGTGATCTCTTCCATATGTGTTTCTAACCGGTGATCTGCGTTGGTCTCTTCTTAATGTGTTATCTCTGTGACCCGAATAAGCAGGGTAGGAATCCCTTGGGATTCTAGACTGAGATGAGGTAGTTTGGATTTGTCTCTTTTCATTTGCCCATCTTCTTTCAGCCTCCATTTGATTCAAGACCGTCCTTTGGTTGATGCCTAATTTGCTCAAGTCACGCACCCCTGTCTTGGATGAGTGATAATCTTTCTCGTCATGGGACAGAGAGAAACAAGAGAAGCAGTGTTTCCCGAGCTTTTCATATTCAAATTCCACAGTTGTAACCTCATCATTTGGTAGCATAATCTCCATGTTCATAACTAGGGGTTCTAGTCCATTTATCTGAACTCTAACTCTGTCTTGGTCAATGTCTCGCCCCTTAATGAAGCCAAGTTCTTCTCCAATTGTAGATATAGCTCGATCCGACGAGTAGTGCAGTGGTAGGCCACAGATCTTTATCCAGAAAGTACTTTTTGTTATATGAGCTTCCATTACCATATACATTGTTACGAAGATGAGGTTTAGTAACTTAATTTTATAGCAAAGACATGCATCTTTGTGTGCTACTTCTATGATTAACGCCATTTGGTATTAATTTTCTCGTTCATTTTTTTTGTTAAATTGTTTGCTCCTTATTGCTCTAGTTGGGTAATCAGTTATCCCTCTTGACTTTCTTGAAGATATAACTTCACACATGTGCTACTATTGTTTCTTTAATACAGATTACAGAGTTACTTTTGTCTATCTGGTTTATTGGCTTTCCATCGATTATCTTGTTGTTTCCAGATCAGCAGTAGTGAGTCATACTTTTTCTCTTAAACCATTAACCAATTTATGAAAGTAGAAACTCTAAAGTTATTTGCAGTATATAACTCTTTTCGTTTTTCCCAGGTTTGTGATGCATATTTGACCGCCTCAACGTATGTGGAGTATTGGTGTGAGGAGAAATTTGGCAGTCTAAGCCTCGAAGATCCTGATTTTTCTTATCATGATATGGTAATTTCTTAAGAATGCATGTTATCTATTCGGGAATATTCATGGTTTCCATCTTCTTAACCAAATAACTAATACGCATTGTGGTTTATGCTTAATGACTAATGAGTAATCATGAATCATCCTCATATGTGAAACTTTCATGGGATGCATCTTTAGAAAACTGCTGACTCTACACGTATGGGATTGCATAAAAGAGTTTTGCATGATTTCTTGCGACAGAGAAAATGGTTCTGTTTGTTCGGCTTTTTAAGCTTTCCTTTTCTTTGTGTTCAACAGTTGCCGGGTCATATTGACGCGTTGTTCTTTGGTGAAGCTCATCTTGATATTGACTAGACAAGTAGCCTTGCAGGAGTTGTCAATTTTGATGGATGAAATCCTAAATAAATGCAATCATCTGTAGCACATGAACACTTGACTTATTTCAGGTGTCGTGAGTTCCAAAACTTTATTAAAGTTGAGATGTTCTCCTTTTAAAAAGACACCTTTCCATCTCAGTATTTCCTCACCAAAACAATACCCTGTAGACTACTCATCTGTTGAGCAATCCCTAAATTAAAGTTGAACTTTCAAGCTGTGGGATTTGTGAATGGTAGTTGCTTCGTATAATATATAAGGAAAATGTGAATGAATGTGCTGATGCTACAGATTTTGGGTCTCTTTGGTAAACAATGCTTTTAACTTTTCCTATGGGATCACTTTCTCGATTTTTGATGTTTTATCATGTCCTGATTCTTTATCAACTTGGAATAGTTTGAGATCTTCGCTGGACGTTATCTTCACATCAAAGTGCACATGGCTATCCACTCAAACAAATGGCTTGCACAGACCCCATGACTCCAACAATGGAGCAGTTTTTTTCCCGGGTTTCATCTTTTTTTTTTGTTTTCAAGTGGTTGTTCATTATCTTCCGGTGAATGATTTCAAGCTTCAAGAATTTATGTTATTAGCAGAAAGTCCAAGTTGAAAAAACACCAAGGTTATTTCGGATCTTTCATGTAGACTTAGATTTTAGTCTTGGAAACAATGTAGCTGTGCACATATGTATATGCGCAAACTACCTAGAAGTTAACGGAGAGAATCATGTTTCCTGAGGCCATTTTAAATTATGAATTACAGTTGTCTTGGCTGAATAAGGATTGGAGCTCTGTTATTACGCAAACTCAGTTGCACATGAATTTGTTGGAGCCGTTTATGGCATTTAGGCGAGTTCTTCTCCAAATCTTGGGATGTGAGGAATGTACCATGCAACATAGTTTGCAGTCTGCTTCAATACTTCGTAAGGTATGTATAATATTAAAAGCTACAGGTTCACTTGTAGTAAGATGCAGTGGGCAAACTCATTTACTAGTTGTTTTTAGGGATCAAGGTTTTGTCATGCAACTGCGTCTCTGCATGAGTTCAAATTTCTTTGTGCAAGAGCGATGGAAAGGGTACATTCTTACGACTAACCTTGCATGTTCTGTGGAATTTTCAGTATCCTTCTTTTCTCCTAATTTGGAGATATTTCTACGGGAACTTTTTCCTTATTGATATTTATGAGATTGCGACAAACTTGCAACTGAAAAATTCTAATCACTCCTACTTTTACCCGCACCTCCACCTCCTGTCAACAGATAGTTGTGACATAAAAGAGTTATTATTGAAAACAGGCATATAATACTTCTCTTCGAGATCTAGTAGTTTAACTTGCTCCATAGTTTAGAACATGGGTAATATCTGGCTATCAGCTAGAGATATGCTTTCCAGTAACTTTTTGTGCTTTTTCAGCTTGAAGAGGCAAAGCTATTACATGCCCAAGGGCGGCATGAAGTTACCATCAGTCTGGCAAGCTACATCTTACAAAATTATCAATTAAAAGAAAAGCTGCTCCAGATATATATCGTGTGATTGGACAGTGGATAGCGGAAAGCAAGTAAATAAATTGTTACTTTTTTTAACTTGGTTGAAAGTAGTTTCCATCTATGCTCGTCGTGAACTTTTACTAAAAATCCCTACTCGGTTCTTTTTTTGTTTTCTCTTGGATATAGTTCTAGAACAATTTTAGAGAATTATTTCAAGCCTGCAGTCTCGCTTGCCGAAGAACGGAGTCTCAAGATCTGCAAAAGGTTGGTAGAAAGACAAAGCCAAACTTGGTTTCATCTATTTAAGAGTTATGAGGAAAGACTGTCCTCCAGTGAATGGCAAGCTGCAATGCTACGAAAACACAAGGTACCTTTGGTTACTCAAATTTTACATTTTCACTTTCTTTCTTTAGTTCGTTTTTGTATACACAATGCCTGTTTATTTTATCTTTCTAAACGGGCACACATAATTGAATACAACTGAGCACATATAAATGAATAATCCATCTGTTTGCTGTTATCAGTAACAGTTCTAAACAGTTTTAACTCCAAAGCTTATTCTTCTTCTGTTGTGGGGAAACCTGACTGGTGTACTGAATTTTTCAGACAAAAGAGTTGGAGGTGCTTATCAAACGGTTTAAGAGTTCAAAGAAGGCAAGTAGTAGTCTACCACCGTTTGTTTGATCTCTGAAAACAAATCTCTTTGCCAAGCGCTCTCATGCTTGCCGGTCTCATTTAGTTCATATTTTTGGTACTTACTGTTTTAGGGTGAACAATCGGACTAATCACTAAAGATTCAAGATCCGCAGAAGCAACTAACAATGGACAAAGAAGAAGTAGAAAAACTGCAGGTGTTCTTTATTCCACCTGACAATCTGGCTGCTGTGGAAAAGTAGTCATGGTTTTTTCTAGATAGGTGATATTTACTAATAAGTTATGTCCCCTTTCTCCTCCATTGCATAGGTTAACAGGGATAACTTTCTGAAACTTGTGTTGGAGGAGTATCAACGTTGTCTGGAGATTGGTGACAAGTATGATGTCTGAGTGGTATGTTATCCAAGTGTTTCAGCGAGGTTTGCATGTAATGTAAGGTGCGTATTAGTGTCTAGATTCCATCCTTTATGGCTGGCGAGAAAGGTTTGAGTCGGCTTTAGAGTCATATATGGAATTCCTTGAGAAAATAGTTTTAATTGTTAGGGACTTTGCTTATCTATGTTTCGTTAGTGTGCATACTTCCTCTACAACTTATCAGAGTTGGGTTTCATAATAATTCTTAATATCTATCAAGGAGCAAAATTGCATTTTTTCCGTCTTAGTGGTCCACCATGTCTTCTCTTTTCTTGTTTTGGGTTGCGGTCTCTAGCTGCTTGTTTACATTTCCCAGTCGGGTTTGTGTCTACCAGTCACATCAATCTTATTTTCTTATTCTTTTGCAGGAGATAGTTAATTGCATAGTCATATGTTTTGATTATAGATGATGTTACACAAGGGAAGGTGATCACACAAGATCACACTTTAGCGATGCGGACCGGAGTGGAGGAGGTCTCGATAAAATTGACAAGATGATGATGATAGATGAAGCTACAACTATTTATAATTGTGAGACTTGTTTTGTGTGTTCACTCTGATTGGTATAACTAAGTATGATTGTGTTGCTTGTTTTGTATGTTCTTTGTCTCTGTTTTTTTTTACTTATTAGTTAATTTATGTACCTTTTACATATTGGTACAATTGTGTCAACTTAATACTTAGGTACCACTGGGTACATATGTTTATAATTTCAAGAATTAGAGAAAAATATATTTTTGTACTAAAACTATATATGTTAATGTATGAGTAGAAACATTCATTTTTGTGTCAATCAAACAAACATTGTGTTTTAATACATTTCAATTTACAAAACTATAGTAAAAATATTTAAATGGATCAATTCGATTAATACTAAAAATATGATTTTATGGACTAATAGTACGTCAAAACTATCAAAAATATAACTGTGTAACATAGTACTACTAGAAAACTAAATATGACTATGAGTAAAATTTTAATACTTTTTACTTATTTGACGGTGTATGTGTTAAATATGTTTTATTTTTTTATTCTTTTTTTTTACATAAGTTTTTTTTTTTGTTTATAATACACTAGTACCTAGTAATACCAGTAATACCTAAAAACATCAGCAGTACTTAATAACACCAATTTTACCCAAATTTGTAACTAAAACCATAAGCTCAACGTTACAAAAAAAATCTCAATTTTAAGATTTACTTGCCTCTCAAAGTTAAGATTTTACACTAGGAATACATTATTTTGCAATCTCAACATCCTTTTTCAAACTTTCTTCTCGTTTATTCGCTTAAGTTAAATCAAAGACTTCTAAGAACTGACTTGGCTGAAATCTAGCTTGCAACGAGAACTGAACCATGAGAGTTGACCATCCTCGTCAATATACATCTCGTTAGGGTTGTATCTCTATCCCATTTGCATTTCAAGCTCATCGTAGTCATCATCGAAAGCTGATCCCATGATTTGCATAAACCAAACGACAAACAAAAAAAAGACATTTTACACCATTTATTATATGCGAAGAGATAAGAATACATGTAAACAGCTTTCAAGAATTAAAAATTTGCGGGTGATCTGATTTATAAATAATAAAAAACCATCTATGAAACCAATAAAACGGTATAGACAATCATCAATCAGAGTATTCTAAATCTGAATCTTTTCAATGATAAGGTAAACAAAGAAGGAAATGGACAAGTGCTAAGACCATATCAAGTAGACGAGCCAAGTTTCGGAATGCAAGATGCTCGAAACTCTTCTCATTTTTGACCGAATCTCTTTGTGGACCTAATCACAAAACGAATTTTTTAGTCCATGTACCAAGAACAAGTCCCTGCAACTATATCCCTAGACTTTTCAACCACATCATTTGAATACGAAAGTGCTTTGCAGATATATATCAATACCAAGTTCATGCAGCTATGTCTCTAGAAATTCAATTGTCATGTGTGGAATACAAGTGTATTTGCAGCTATATCTCTAGCAATTTTAACAACATGTTTCGAATACAAGTAGATTTGCATAAGGTTCACGAACAAATTCATGCAGCTATGTCTATACAAATTCCAAACCACAAATTTCGAATTACGAATCATCATCCGTAATTTAGACTAAGGATCTAAAATCACCAACACATTTCGCAACAACAAACCAAATCGACGGGATTAATCGGTGAACGAAAACATGAAGATAAGTCGATGTAACAATTTTACTTACAGCTTGATAGATGTAAGCAGACCAAATCCGGGAGATACACAACGCCAACAACAAATCTAAACAAGCGGGGCAAAATTAAAATAATCAATATCTTCGGGGATGAAGATTCAAAAAGGGATGAAGATAC